TAGGAAGGAATTTGGAGAGTAGCAGTCACGGATATTTCGTATTCGTTATCCTCTTTAAACCCAGACAATCAGCTTTCCCTAAGCACAATCGAAAAACGAATGAATCGGTTAGGGGAATCGACTCGACGTTTGACTATTACCCATCAGTTGTATGAAGACCGTTTCCATCACAGTAGATTGTCTACCATCTTGAGTAAAGAATCGTGGTCAGACAGCAAAATACCTGTCCATCATGAATAAAGTTTTCTTGTATTTCCAAAACCACCTAGTCAATGTGTTTTGATTTCCAATGAATTCAGGTCTTGGAAGCCAATATAATTGTTGTCGCAGGAACTTGGCTCACCGTAGATGTAAACTGTTCTGCCATCATTGGAGGTTACATCCATATTGGAAGTGATAGAGTTTTAAGTCGCAAGGGAGGAGGCATAATGTTGTGTGTTAGGGATCACTTCCGTATGCAATCGATTGTATCGGTGGCAAATGTGAGGTAGTATATTGCAGAATTACGCCTAGAAACGGGTTAGTGGCTATAGGAGGAATGTACCGTAGTCCGTGTTTTCTCGTTGACGACTTTACCTTAAGACACAACTGTTGTTGGAGTAAAGCAGAATGTTGTCTCATCATTGGAGATCTCAACACACTGCATATTACCGGACAGGGCCTACATAACCGGATGGGTGTTCCGATTGCGACCTTCAATCAATCATTATTCAGTGTTCTCGTGTATCTGCTTCACTCCGACCCTATATCTGGCGAGCTAATATTCCGGCAATCCACTGACTAGTCGGTCGATACGGATGGATCGATCGAAGACGAATGGAATAACTTTGAGGCTACATTCGAGCCCGTAATATCACCGTTTATCACATGGTCAACACGTAAGCTATTACATTGCCCTCCATGGATTACTAAGGAAACTCAGAAGCTATTGAAGCGTATGAAACACTTCTGGGACTCACTCTCGTCAACATGACACGCATCATTTATATGTGAATATAAAACAATCCGGCATACATGTAAATTCCGTACTACTTACGAACGACAATTGGCATATTGCCGTACTTGTTCGAAACGATTGTTTTCGTGTGTTAAACGGCGGGTGAAACGTAGTGATGGTATTCTCCCGTTACTGTTACACGGAAATTCAGATTTACTAGCTGAATCAGATCGGGCAAAGTCTAAGAATTTTAAAATAGTTGTCGGAGTCAACTTTGTGTGTATTGTTACAAATACTTGTTCTTATAACACCGCTCAGATATCAGCTATAAGATCTGCACATGTGACTGAGCAAACTGTTCTCTCATTGGTACCGGGCTGTGATGCGTTACATGCACGACTGCTGTGATCTCTCGTGGAAATCATTTCAAGAGCGCCCTTGACGCTCTTCAACATGCAACTTTCACTCGCTCAACTCCCTAGAGACTTGAAAGACGCTTTGATCAGTCCTATATTTTTGGATGGTCAGAGACAAATCTTATCTGACTACCAGCATAGTCGATAAGTTACTTGAAAAGATATTTCGGTTCAAGGAACTAAGTCACATAGATTCACACAATCTGTTAACTCCCGACCAACATGGGTTTCGCAACGAGCGTTCATACTTGAATAACTGACTTATTGCGAAAGAGGATTAAACAACGACCCTAGGAAACGGTCTGTTTGTCGATGTGATATTCATAGATTTTAGCAAAGCGTTTGGCAAGGTTTCACATTTAGATCTTATGCAGAAGCTCTCGAGCTTCGGAATGATAAATGCTGTACAAGAATGGATAAGTAACTTCTTATGTGACCATAGAAAGAGAGTGTCAATGGAATGCTATCCGAATGAAAGTTGGTCAAAAGTGGTGTATTACAAGGCACCATCTTAGGCCCTCTACTTTCCCGTCTATACATTAATGAATTACGGCTTTTGCTTGAGTTGTCTACATTATTGTTTGCGGATGATGTAGATATCTGGTGAACAATAAGTAGTGAGGCTATTCATTTTGATTTACAAACTGACTTGAACGGATTGGTAAGGTGGGCTCGAGGTTGGGATTTAGAAGTGTGCTCATGCACATCGGACACGGTAGTAGTTTTAATTATACTATTGATGGTATATCGGAGTCACCAATTTCGTGTCTTTAGGTAACCCTCGTGCTATGGACAGAAGAAAACAGACTAGTAGTGATAGGTCTTCATTAAGATCTTCGCGAAGTCACAGAGGAGCGTGAGATTACCTGTTCGGACAAACAAAGTCTCTCGACATTCAATATAAGATAATAGGAAATGTAAGGCCTTTGCAAACTAAGGAAGTGAATGAATGCTTGAACTCTACTGTTTTGACATATGCTTAGTTGTTTGAGGTCAACTCTTAACCAATCAACCTAAACTGTTACACATTCTTTCCATGCATTCAAGAACATGAAGACTTAGGAGTAATAATAAGTCATGACTTGAAAACAACTACGTGTTGCAACACAGCTGCTGTCAAAGGTTGTCGTGCGTCATCGTCTGATAGATGATACTAACTCACTTGAGCGTGTTCAGCGTGTGGAAACAAAATTAGTTAAGGGTCTTTCTAAACTGTCTTACGATGAGCGCTTAATATGCCTAAACCTTTTCCCCTTGTCGTATCGTAGGATGCGGGGTGAATTTATACTGGAATTTTGTAGCTTTAGTTGTGATTTAGGTATCAATATCTCTCATATGTTTGCTCTCTCCATCATTAATAATCTCTGAGGTCATAGCAAGTAGGTCCACAAATCGCGATCTAATAAATTTAAAGTGGGGTAGCGTTGTTCTCATCAAGTAGTCAATGTCTGGATCGCCTTACCCAAACAAGTGTTATCAGCCCCATCAGTGAATATTTTCAAGGAGCATCTGGACCTTCACTGGAAACAAATTTGTCAGGATTAACACAGGTTCACCAACCTACTACCCTTAATACTGAAAACTGAAGACTGAAACAAATTATTGCGAGAGCGTATTTTTCAAACTGTACGTTGCGTTTGCAAGTTTGTTTTTAATGGTCATCAAGCGTTCATTATAATTATTCTCAATCAACTTCCTGATCTTTGACATGTGAGAACTCCAAAATATTTTATACACTGTCAACTGTCCGTGTTTTATCGTCAGGTTTCTTTATATTCACTTTTGTGACTAATATTTAGATAGCATGCACACCTGTAGTATTTTCCCCCCACTTATGGTGTCTTTTGCGTCTCTAAAGCTCATCATTTGACTTGCGGTTATGATGTGTCTGTTGTATGAAGTGTTAAGTGTTTCGGATAATTCGTTGCTTCCTGCGATGAGTTCCTCAACTTTGAGTAAATTTTCAGGACATATCATGGAACCTCAAATGTGTTTTCAGAAAGGTTCTTATACAGTGGTGAAACTACGTACACTTAGTTCTAGAATCTGCCTTTTTAGTCTTGACTTTAAAAAAAATGGGATGGAAATTGACATTTTTCATTGTGCAATGGGGGATGAGGGGAGTTCGCTCATTCAGTGTTAACACTGGATGGGTTACATAGTTCAACGCAAAATGAAGATAAATGTGAAAATTTGATTTGTGGACACCCTTTGAGAAGTGTCAAGGTGAACTTAAAATACTTCACCTACTAGCTAGCGTCCAAAGAGGTTTATAAATTAGTGTTTGGAATTATAATTGGGACTTAAAATTGTAAGTTAGGGTTAAATATTAGAGTTAGGGTTTTCTTATGAGGGCCACTCTCCAAGCCTCTGACCCAGAGGTTTAGCCCAAAAGGCAGTTGGGCAGCGTTAGGAGATGCAGTCTCATGGTACATGGTGACCATCAATAGGTGCATATGGCATTCGTTCCCTCAGGACCCTGGAGCCAGCCCATGTACACCATTGGTTTGGAATCAGGGTTTTCCAACTCTCCTAGGTGAACTCTTCATGTCCACCAACCCGGTTAAAGCACTGGACATTCGTTTTTGGTCCTCTCAATTCGGTAAACAACACTCGTGGTGCGCGAAGGCAGTGAGTAGGACTTCCCTGGTGGTGATTGTATGTATGTGGCCATGTGAGAGCATTTGGAGAGAGAGAGAGGGAGTGCTGACTCTCACCACTCTCGGGCGTACCAGGGTATTTGGGGGCTCCATCTCAGTCGGTGAAGGTTCACAACCTCATCAAGTGATTTACCCTGCGTTTAACCTCACTATTACTTACCCGGTGATCCATTAGTATGTCTATGATGAAGTTAAACAAAAAATGGAGAATGTGGACAGCCTTGACGAACACCACTCGAGGTTGGAAAAGCAGATGACAGTTCGTCATAAGCTCTGACTCGACTAGTAGTGTTCGAGTAATGAGCCTTCACAAAGTTTATGTAGTTCTGAGGTACGCCTTTCAATGACGAACACTGCCACAGAACCTTCCAGTTTACAGAGTCAAATGCTGCCTTGAAGTCAAGAAAGACCACCATTGTCGGACATCGATAAGTATGCTTGTGTTCTAGAACCTGATGAATGATATGTAGTCGATGCAGCCACGACCAGGTCTGACGCCAGCTTGGTTCTCTCGTGTTTGCAGTTCACGAGTCTTAGTTAGGCGTCTGATAATTATCGAGGCTAGTATTTTAGATGCTATGTTAGTCAAACTAATCCCTCTATGGTTGTCACAGGATGATTTTGATTCCTTCTTATATATTGGGACGATCAGTGACTGTGACCAGTTAGATGGAATAACGTCTAACTCCCAGATCTTAGCTAAAATATTAGTCAACCGAATCGCTAAAATTGGACCACCATCCTTAAAGACCTCTGGAACCAATCTATCTGGACCAGCTGCTCTTTCTCGTTTCAGATTAGCTATAGCCTTACGAACTTCAGCTAGGGTCGGGGGACCTACTTCAATGTTCCATTCACGCTAGCTGGGAATGTTGAGTAATTGTAGAGTAGCTGAAGGCCAGATGAACTGTTCTTTGAGGTGTTCCGCCCATCGTTCTAAACGTCTGGACTGGGAGCAGATGAGTGTCGTCCCTTCCCGAGATATTTTCACTTACACTTGATGTTTAATTCCAGTTTCTTTTATTAGCCTGTAAAGCTGTCTTTTGTTCCCTATAGTCGCCGCCTTTTCCATCTCTTTTGCTTTCGTTGCCCACCACTGCTCACGGTCGTTCCTTAGACTTTTGGTTAACCTATATTTGATTCGCTTTCGCTCATCATCGTGTTCAGAGCCTGATTGGATGAGTTTACGAGAACCCATCAGTGCATTAGACCTTAAAGGAATCCATTGGTTTTTTGTAACCCTTTGGTTTAAATCACTAATAGATGTCACTGTTGTTTCCACAGGTGTTTGTATATCTTTCCAAGCAACATCTGGGTCAGCCTCGTGTTCAGAACTACCTAAGTGTAACCTCAGTTGTTCCTGGAATCTACTTTCGGCTTTCTCGTCACTCAATTCAATTCTAATGAGTCTTTTTAATGTGGCTTTTCTTCGACCAGTGAGGTGAAAGTAGATGCGTGCCCGTATTAAGGCATGGTCGGAATCCAAGCAGGCATTCCACAACGAGTTATAATCTTCTATTGAGCATCTCTATTGAAGACTGATGGCAATATGGTCTATTTGAGCCCATTGTTGGCTTGGTGCAGGGGGTCGCTATGTTATTATCTAAATACTTTTTCAAATGGGTGTTATGATTTAGTTATCAGGATATCTTTCGTGTTACCTAAATGAAAGTTACATTGTAAATATATACTACCTCCAAATTCATGTTACAATTTACAAGGAAACTTGTAGACATGTTACATAATTCAGTACTATCTGACGGCTCTTTCATTTATTTATTTTAACATTCCAGACTTTTACTCATTAGCTTAAACTAATGCAAATAGCTTTGTTAGGTGATTTCAATACAACGTTATTTCTAGCAGGCTTATTGTTTGATCCCTGCCGGGAAATCAGGTTGATATTTTTCATTTTTAGTCAGCTACTTTAAGCTCCACTTGTCTCCATTTCTCTTTTATTGTGAAACTCAAATTATTTTACGTATATTATTTTCGAAATTCCATAGAAAGTGTTCCGGGTAGTTATACCAATCGAGCGAGGTTTAGTTTTTGAACGAATCGCAATTGAAACTTGGTCTCTTTTTCAACAAGCAAATTCAATGACATTTCCAATTTGTACAGAAAGTAATCACGCTCCATTTAAAGATCAGATTGACGATGAGACCGTAATGTTTGATCTGGACATGAGCGTGGATACTTTGCCTGATACACCCCTAAAGAATGATGATGGTGACTCGGACACACAAAAGACTCGGGTAATGCTCTCATAATATTTTAATAGATTGTATTTAGACGAATCAGTCCAGTAATTCTCTTTCCGCGACTCCTTCGAGACGTGAAAGTAAAATGAAGTCAGATATGTCTCGTTCTACTTCCATCTCAGGACTTACTGATAATGTTAACTTGGAGGACATTTATGAGTACGACTGGGCTGATAGTGATTCTGAATCACCTGGTGGAAAACATGAAAAGGAGTCATACATAGTTCAAGAAGTTCTTGCTGACTTTTTAAAGGTTGGTTTTATCTCGTACTTACTGTCGCTTTTTTCGTTCTAGAATTCAGGGTATTAATACTGTAATATTTTTATTAGTCGCAAATGTTTATTTTAGGTGTCAGGGGTATGTTCGTTTATCACAGAAATAATCCTTTAGTTATTTATGACTGACGTTCTATATCTTTCTGTTATTGGGTTCTCATTTCTCGATGTATATTGTAGTAACTTCTGCTGAAATATGAGCCTAAAGATCTCTTCAAATTTTGCTGGAATTTGGGGAAGAATAGATCAACATAGCTTCCGCTCTTTTCAGTGCGTTGTGGAATAGCATTGCAGTAAATTAATCATTCAAAGGTCGAAAGATATCTGCAATAGGACACAAAAAAGGGATAAGGTAGGAAGGTATACTTAGTAAGAAACAATAAGTTTATTAGAATAAATAAAATAATAATCAGCACAATATTTCAAGAAGCATTCTCTCTGAACACTAGTCATCGTTGTGTAATCTAAATTCCATATTAACTTCTGCGGTTTCTACACTTTTTACATTAAAGGACATAAAAGTTATGATAAGTTTTTGTTTAAAACTGTAGAAATATATCTATGTAAGTGAAACAAATGGTTTTTATGATACAAGTTAAGTTTTTGATGATGAAAACTCCATTATCTGTAAATTTCTACCGTTTTGATTGATTGCAGTATAACAATTTGTTCATGGCAATTATATTGTTTACTAGATATTTTGAATTACCGTTTGTTTTGTAACGTGTAGCTGCAGCTAATGTGAACAAGAACACGGGTGGGGACAATCGACTGTATTTAGCACAAAAATTACAGACTGTCTCAATAAAATGTGAATACCATAAAGTCAATCGTCAATTTGCAAAATATCATTCCATCATATGAAACTGTACTGTTCCCGTTGCAAACAATAATCCATTGTCTCCCATTCCATTGTACATGCGTTTTCTTACAAATTCCATTGTGCTCTCGCTCTTCCTTTCTTGATCTTCGCCATCTTCTGCTGCCGGACATTACGTTCTTTTAACGCACGTTATATACTACTTATATGAATATAAGTAGCTCACACCACACTCGTCCCCCCCTTAAAGCAGTCGTCCTTGTGGTGGTTCATGCTCGCCGTGCAACATTCTCCGTCTCTGCAGTCTGTGCCACGCTCTCCGTCAAGATGTCGAGTCTGCGGCGCGCCGACTTCCACAGCTAATCCATATTTATTTAAGTCTCTTTATTCGTATGAATGAATGAACGTGAAGTCATGGTTAACTACAGTAACCAAAGTATCTCAGCAATAGTATGATTCAGTGTTTGGACGGTTTTTCGTAGGTAAAAATGTTTGGATAAGTTTGTGGTTTTTTTCATATTACGTTTTATTAAGAACCTTTGTATGTATTTTGTATTGGATTTTATTCCTAATTTTGTTTCTATCAGGTTTTCAAGCAGTTCTGTTGATTAACATTTTTTCCTTTTTATTAGGTTAAATCTTTTAAACGCAAGTACCCTGATCTATCTAGGCGCGCTATGGATGCTTATGAACGATCGTGGTTGCAACAAGAGGGGATTGTTCCCGTTGGTCGTGCAGACCTTGGTCTCACAGCACTCAAAACTGATGATGTTATGAAGCTTTTGCAACAGGATTACCCAGAGATACACATTGCTCTCACGGATTTGTTTCGTCGACGAAAATTTAAAACGGCTGTCGAGAATCAAAAGCGTCAGTATGAAGTGAGTTTGAATAGTGGAAATCATTTTCTTGACCAAACAGCTTCTACTTTACAATTTCTAACTAATACAGCACCCAGCTGTGATTTTTTTAGGCAAATTTGGTTGAAGTAGTTATCAGCGGGCACTCCTAATGAATTTTGTTCACTGTATCTAATGAAAGCACACTAAGGTATCAGCGAATTCTTTGAGATGAAGAGGGAATCCTTAGTTGATGGAATGTGCATACATAATACTTTGTTTGGTGTTATGTATTGCTTAGAAAATCGTGGTCTATAAAATCAAATGATTCTGTTAGGCTAAATAAAATGGATTGTATTTAGATACGAATGATTACACATATTTTCAGGAATTCCGAGGGGAGTGACTGTGTTTACCACACCTTTCATCAGATTCCGTTTGATTTATTTTTCCCAGAGAACTGTCAAATTTTAGTTATAATTAGGTTATGAGATTTTAGGTCACACGTTTTGTGTGATTATTAGTAGGCATACCTGGTTTTCAAGGTTTAAGTGGATAGATTAAATGGAAATCATCTACATGGTGGTTGTAGTTCGACATTTGTAACTGAATGATATTATGCATATCAAATAATAAGATGAAGCCAATTTTCGACTCATTGAACCTTGTATGTTTATTAGTTTTCTGTCATTTGTAAGGCAGAAAAATGTACACATCAATCTAAGGTTACTGAGATATAAGGGTTTAAAGAATATAGTGTCCCTGGCATGAGAACTATCATCCTTTAGTTACTTAGATTCCTTGTTTCATAATCTTTTCTGGAATGACTTTAAATTCTAAGGTTTGGGTTGAACCTATGTTTACGGTGTTAATTCTTTACATAGGCTGCTCGTATTGAACGTGGAGAGGCTCGAGCTGAAGCAGCTCGCAGACGAGCGTTAGATTCTGCTGCCGATTACAATCATCGCTTGATTACCGAACGTATGAGTTCAAGACGTTGTTATTGGGATTTACAGACAATGCAAATTCACATTCCCCAGAGAATTTATAAGTTATTAGAATACCCAACTTTTCCGAATGGTGCATATCCTGTGGCAGTCATACCTGGACAGTTTGCAGAATATTTTATGAGCTATACTCCTGAACAGTTATCATACCTTCCATTATCACGTGTTTTATATCCACATCCACTACGAAAACATAGAAATCCACCTCCTCTCCCCACAACACTTCGATTTGGTTCGATTAAGCCGAAAGTCAATCCACCTACTATGACCTCTTGTGATTTCGGTGATCAAAATTCATTTGGTTTAGACCATTCTAGATCTATTGACTCTTTAAACCATCAAACCACAAGCTCGATGGAAGGTCTTCGGACTAGATATGCAAACGGATCACTATTATCAAGTGGTGTTGCTAAGTAAGACCCTGAACATTTACAGTATCGCTGAATACTTGCATTTTACTTTAATTTTAACGTGTATAGACTTTTTTCATAGGACGTCCTATTTAAAATTTTCACTAAGACATTGATCAGTTGTTAAAGTAGTAAAGTGATACAATGCTCAAGAATTAAGCCTAGCGTTCAGGTCCTAATTGATTAGAGACTGAGTGACCTATAAACTATGGCATTTTATCATATTTAATTCGTGTTAATATTCTGTATATATGTCATTGTATTACATAAAAAAACTAATTCTTTTGAGGTCTCATTCAGGAAGGCTGCTGTGCAAATCAGATTTCTCCCTCTAGTTAGCAAAGAGGAAAGAATATGATAGACGTGGAGTCGTTCACTGTATTGAAGTTGGAGTTGAAAAATATTAGCTTATTACGAATATGTACTACAGATGCGTTCGAAGAAGGCATGAAAATGCTAACTGAAACATTGATATTAAATGGTTTCCCATTGACATTTACAAATCAGTATAAAAGTCAGTTAACATCAGAACCAATTCTTAATTCTGTTGCGTAAAAAGGTTTTATCATTCAGAGAAGAGTCGAGCAGCATAATTTTGAAATAGAGACTAAGAGTACCCATCGAGGATATGCACTGTGCTGCTAAATTGGTTATCATTGAAAAAATGAGGCCTATGATTCCACAGAGGCCTAAACATGTCACATGATTACGTCACGTCCCACTATATTTACCACATGTTTCTGTGGACATACGCATGGGGAGGAGTGATCGAACAAGGATTATGGAACATGTACCCAAATGGCTCCAGATTCAGTTAGTATCAAATTCTCCAACAAACGTAGGAAATAGGAAACAGGCCATATGATCAAGATTAACACAGCTCTTAAAATGTTGCATAGGAAATGTCAAGAGTGAATTCTCGGGTTTATAAAGGGCTAACGTATTAGGGGGTTCAAACTTCCCTTATCGTTATCTTAAGCGTGAATTTTTCCTGGTTATCTTCAATCCATTTTACGACCTAAGTTGGTTTAACATCTTCATATTCTTTTCATATCACGTCCATCAATGTTTTTCCTTCCTTTATTTTTATTTATCACTTTATATTTGTCCAACTTCCTGCTTAACTGATCATTATTCGTTTTCATTTATAAATGCTTTGAAAAGTATAGGCATGGTCAGATTATTCGAAACGTGTAGCACAAACACGTCACATTTTTTAAGCCAAATATTTGTTCTTATTATTCCATCACGATTTATTAAAGGGACTAATTGCTCTAAATTATCGAAATTCGAAAACGAAGTAAATCAAAACGAAAAGTTGTTTTCATTAATTTCATTATCATGCTCTAAAGTTATGGGTCATTAATTATCGTATTACAATGTTCAAAATAAGCCATACATGAGTGAATTAGACGATTTTATGTCTTTAACGTTTAACATAGGATAATTCACTTGTGTTTACCTTAGTCTGGCCATTATAATACAATCATTCAGTCATCATTAACATAGAGCCTGGCACATACGTATGTCAACTCAAGTTGATGTACCGGTGTGGGACAACATTTAGAGCAAATAAGTTCAAAATAATGTTTTAGCAATGACAATGAATAAGACCAAGCATTGAGATTGGAATTTGAAAAAAACTAAATCAAAGGATATAAACGAAGGAATACTGGAATTCAAAACAAGTGAAAAATAAAGAGTGGATGTGTCTGCATCATCATGAATTTCTAACAACACAATAACTATGGACTCATCACTGTAGAACCTTATGATAAAAATAACTATTCTCCTTAATATTTTCTGTTTTTTAAATGTTCTATGGGGATTATTTGCTTATCACTTTCTTTCTTCAGTTCAAACATGTTAGTTGGTGATAAATCATCGGTTTCTGATGTAGAAACAGATAAAATCAGTAATTCGATCTATCGACGATATAAAACAAATACAGAGATAAATACAGAAAATCCTATTTGTGTTGTATGTGGCCAATTAGCTATGAATTATATACGTTGTTCCGAGTGTAAATTAATTGGTCATCCAAAATGTTTGGATATACCTGATTCTATGCTATCAGGTGTGAAAAGGTAAAACAAAATTTATTATTGTTATTATTATTATTATTATTATTATTATTATTATTATTATTATTATTGGTTGTTTGAATCTTCTTATTGATATTTAGGACAGCGATTGATCAGCCTTTTATTGGCACATGTACATCCGGTGTGGATTGCCGCAATATTAACTTAGTGTCTATTTGGGATTCATCAGCTAAATGTATCTGCAACCTAGAGTTGACGTTCACACGGGGACTTTTTTATATTTATTTGAACACATAAATATTAATACAAAGAGGCACCGAATATATATGCATCACACAAGTCACTTGATTGGTGTGTGGACTGTTATATTGCCCGGGTGCCCAAACCGATTCAGGTGGTTTTCTTATGGGGCCACATCCGGAGCCTTCGACCTAATAGTCTGATCCACAAGATAGTGGAACAACATAAGGAGATGCAGTTCCATGGTAACCGGTGACCAAAGATTTGTTCATACTCCATTTGTTCCTTGAGGATCCTAGAGTCAGCCCATGTGCACCATTGGTTTGGAATCAGTGTTTTCCAACTCCCCTGGGTGAACTCTCCATGTCCACCAACCCGGTTAAAGCACTGGACATTCGTTTTTGGTCCTCTGAATTTGGTAAACAACACTCGTGGTGCGCGAAGGCAGTGAGTAGGACTTCCCTGGTGCTGATTGTATGTATGTGGCCATGTGTGAACATTTGGAGAGAGAAGTAGTGCTGACTCTCTCCGCCCTCGGCTACACCTGGATTAATCAATTGCAGTTTTAAATATCAATGGGAAGATCCGAACAACCTATATATATATATATATATATATATATATATATATATATATATATATAAACTAGGATTACAACTCATGCGATTTCACAAGCCAGTGGCTATCTTTACTCATTAGCTAAGTGGATAACGCGATAATGTTTGAAGTGAACGGCACTGGGTTCGAGTGCTGGAATGAACATCGATTCTTGGATGCAGACACATTCAGCTGACGAATTCCGAGTAAGACGAAACGCGCATCCTAGATTGCATTGCTAGCCACCATCAGTTTCTGCTTAAATATTATTGATTTTGTTGTGAGAATAGATGGATAGTGGTTAGTGTTTGAATCCAGGACCCTCGTTTCTTCCTGTTGGAGACTTATCAGCTGGATGCACCTTCACCCGTTGTTCACATTGAGACGCGAACTCAATACCTTTTGCTTTAAACACCTAACGCATTATTCACCGAGTTGTATCAAGGAATCCGCTTAGGATGCATGTATACCAACTACGAGTGACCAAAATTCAGTCCTATTTATCAATAATTAGATACTTCAAATCTTTCCTGATTTAATACAATTGTATACTTGAATTTGATTAGTTTCTCCATTCACATTGTAGTTTACTGTTTTCCTAATTGATATGTTAAAAAGTTTTTTTTACAATGATAATTATACAATCCAGCTCCTCAGGTGTGGAGTTTGAACACCTGCGACTGACTAGTTGAAAGCCTAGTTTGTGGAAAGTGGGAAATAGTAGGATGACTGTTTAAAAGCAAAAAAATACGTTTATGATTCAAAACTACTTGAAGTAATAATAATAACAATAATAGAAAAATAATAATAGTGGAGGAAGCAGTTTATTTAGGAAAGATACATTAAAAAAATTATTCCAGTTAAAGAAGTTACATTCACTTTTATAACTTGAAATGTTGCAGCAGGATCACCGCTGACTTTTATTCTGAGCCATTTCGATAACATCTCCAGCTAGTGTTGCACTCTCTCTAGGACCCCAACCAGGGAGTTGTGAAGGACCAGCAGAAGCCAGTCCTGTACAGCTTTCTTTCATACCACGACATTGTGTGCACTGATCACTTCTCCGCTTTCTTCAATCTATTCCAGCGTCGGCAAATAATGCGCGATGTGGGATTCGCTGGGACGACATTCGTAGGACATGTTCAGACCACCGAATTCTGTGTTTCATGATAGTGACACCGATTGAATTTTTATGCTTGTGCCCGAACACACGATGCCGAGTCTCTGCATTACTAACATGGTGCTGTCACTGGATGTCAGCACTCCTTCGAGTGATCAGACACAGAGTCGTTTAACATCCTCAACCTGGAGAGGCCAGGTTTCACAAACATAGTGCGAAACTGCTCCCACCGACGCGTTGTAGATCCGACCTTCTACAGTCAGACTAACATCACGAAAGCACCAAAGATGGCCCAGATCGCTATGAGCCTCTCTGGTTATCACTATGCGTGAATTGATCTCATCAAAGTATTTCTAAATACCTGATACTTTTTACAAGCAAGATCAACAGAAAAATACAGTTCCACAATTTTTTTAAATGCCGAGTGAACATATATATATATATATATATATATATATATATATATATATATAGGAGGAATTTTCTATTTCTTTTTAATTTAACAATATATAGAGTAATATTGTTGACATTCATAAATTTATGTCGCTCGGTGTATTTTCTTGTTTATTTTTAGCTATGATTGGACATGTTTAGAGTGTAAACGGTGTGTGGAATGTAATGATTCAGGTCAAGAAGATCAAATGATGTTTTGCGATCGTTGTGATAGGGGTTATCATGCATTTTGTGTTGGTTTAGGACGAATTCCCAATGGAAATTGGGAATGTTTATTATGTGAATCATTGCCAACTCCGCCTAGGAAAGGACGTCCTAGAAAAAATAGACCTAAAGACTCGGATGATTTACCATGGGGTTATAGTGTGAAGAAACCACGTAAATCAATATTGAAGCGGAAAATTTGTCAAACACCAGGTGTCAATGATACCAAAGACACATCTTTAGCATATAGTTCTTATCCATACGGTAGCGTCCAACCAATAGTCCCTGGTGCTGAATTAGTACCTAAACGACGTCGAGGCCGTCCTCCGACAAAAAATCGCGTTATTGTATCTCTTCCACCCCCGTCTTCTCCATATTTTTCGAATCCAACCAACTTTAGTCCTACTCGTTCAGATGTTTCTATACCCCTACCAACCTCTCCACCTACACCATTATCGATCAAAGTGTCTATGATTGAAAGTGAACCTTCAGGACTATGTCCAGTTAACGCCATTTCAACTAAAATAGAATCCTTTGTTGCGGAAAAAGTTGATATTTCTGAAAAGTCTGAACATTTAAAACCGGATAACAATGATAGTATTATTAATAATAGTAGTACGGTCGATCAAACTGAAAATGACATTGTGAAACATGTTGATGAAATGCAGATTCCTTCTTCAACAAATTCATCTGAATCAAATAATATTGAAAATTGATTATTCATTTAAACTGTTAACCATCTTTTACCCTCCAGACTTTGTATATTTATCCATTGTACTTAAAAATCCCTAGTTTCAGTTTTAATAACTAGTTTAAGTTATCTTTCTTTCCATGTATTTGTAATAATGAAATTTATATTATATATTTCAAATATGTTTGAATTTCTGAAATATATTTATTGTTATAAGTCAGTTATTTTGTTTGTTTATGGATTATTTATTTATTTAAACGCAAACATTTGTACAAAGGAGCGTCGAATACATATGCGTCACACAAGTCACTTGATTGGTGTGTTGACTGTTATATTGCCCGGGAGCCCAAACCGATTCAGGTAGTTTTCTTATGAGGCCACATCCGGAGCTTTCGACCTAATGGTCTGATCCATAAGGCAGTGGAACAACGTAAGGAGATGCCGTTCCATGGTAACCGGTGACCAAATATTTGTTCATACTCTATTTGTTCCTTGAGGATCCTAGAGTCAGCCCATGTGCACCATTGGTTTGGAATCAGTGTTTTCCAACTCCCCTAGGTAAACTCTCCATGTCCGCCAACCCAGTTAAAGCACCGGAAATTTGCTTTTCGTCTTCTCAATTTTTTAAACAACACCCCCGCTGAGAGAAGGAAGTGAGTAGGACTTCCCTGGTAGTGGTTGTATTGGTGTTGCCATGTAAGAGCATTTGGAGAGAGAGGGGGGTGACTGACTTCCCCACCCTCGGCCGTACCTGGGCATTTGGGGGCTTATAGTTATCAGTATGAGTTATTTGTTGAGATTGTAGTGTTTTCCCAGTTGGAAGCACGAGTCTATTTAAGTTAAACCAATATATTGGTTTTCAATAGTGGACAAAGAGGCTATCCAATGCTTCTAGGTTTTCAATGGTAATCTAGTTTAGATTGACTTGTGATTTCAATTATGAAAAGATTTATTGATACCAGTTAAATGAAAAAAACCATGAAATTAAACGAAAGGACCTTTTTCCAACTAATTTATTATCAAACTGTACAATCATATATTAATATGTATTAATTCTGTAAAGACATAAAGAAAGAATGAACATGATTATTTTATAAATAGATTATAACACTAGATTATATACTGTTGTATAATTTCTACAGGGCATGTGCAATTAATAAGAGTGTAAAATTAATTATTGAATTCTAGTGTGAATAAAGTGAAATAATTAAAATGCTGTTAAAGGTATGTTATAACTTATGGCCTATATGCCCTGTTAATGTATAATATGATGATACAGCTAATTAGAGAGCGACGAATTATCGATCGAACCAGTGAGGCATAAAACACGTGCGAGCAGCCTAGAGTCCTTATTGGTCTCGCTTCCTGTCTAGCCCAGCCAGTGATGTCCAGAACACCAATCTCAGCCTCTGAGATATGAATCGTTTATTTCAAACATACGGGGTTTATATTACCAATCAAACAGATCACAACGTACCATAAAATAGAAAATAACATTTGTGCAAGATTTAGCGAAAAGCGGTTGTGAATGTGGGAGGTAGTTATTGGTAGACTGTGTATAACTCAAGAATGGTAAATCGTATAATAATAGTTCATAGGTCAATATAAAGCTCATAATAAGAGGGACATGAATATGAATAGTTTAGTTATTTAACAATTATACAATAAAAATATATGTATAGTAATGGTCTATAAATGGATTCCAAAGGTTACCATTCATTATTCTCATCGGGATATAGCAAGGCAATAGTGAGGTGTTAAATGAAGTGAAGTGATGTCAGAGACAATTATAAGTAAAATCATGGGGATATTAGAGGTAATTAGAGAGTGAGGACATTTTTTTTACTTACAAAATCAGTGAAATGAAAACAATGTTAGGTTAAGGCTATAGTAAAGACGAGGATAAGGACATACTTTTTTCTCACACAAGGTTCCTGCTTCGTTTCGTACATAGCAGAAACGTTTGTTATTCGAAGGAGTTAAATACAAAGAAATCTTGGTCGATGTGGACGAATCTTATAAACTACGTTAAAATCGGTATGTGGGTTAGTTGAGTGATTAGAGTTGACTAAATGTTCAGGGATAGAACTAACTAGTTTCCTCTCACTATCGTCGAACTGTACTGGGATATGTCCTCGTATGCGTGTTGAAAGCATGCTTTGACTACGATCTATGTACCTTGCTCTACAGGACTAGGTAAACTGGTAGATAAACATAAAGGCGATCAGATGAGTGAGCTTTATTCTTTACGGATATGAAAAACAGATTTCTGGTTGTAAATGTTAATTTCAGTTTAGGTGCATAGGACATTGTTCTAATTGTTAAAGATAACCAATTCTTAGGTTGATTACAAGTTGCTTCACTTTTAAATATTAGATTCATATAAAAATATTTACTTGGAACAGAATTTTAGGAATCCTTGTTTCAAATTTATGTTCTTATTTAAGAAATAGCTTGGATAGTCGTTTCCAGTTGAATTTTTTTTCTGAGAAAAGCAAATTCTTTCTCAATACCACAGATCTTACATATTCGGTAACATGAAGAGTGAACGATATTTCTCTTTCTACTTAAAATAACCCAGTTATGGAATTGGGCTATTATTCACACCATATAATGTAGTGTTGTAATATTTCTGTAACATTATCATGTTTAGTTATAATTAATATTTTGATCACGGAATTAATACTTAAAATTTTACATACATATATCTACTAATGTATAGACTGATACTCAGTTTGTTAGAAAAAGATCTCTTTGTTGAATTTCATGTTTTTAATTGTTAATTAAGTTTATCATAGCTTATGAAATGGTACACTTCCCTGATCATATTTGATTGGGAAGGTTTCTGTTTATTAACCAAATAAAGTTATATACAGTAGTTCGCTTTGTATTATTATTGTTTATATTACATGAGATATCAAGGTAGGAAACCTGTATAGACTGTTTGTAATTGTCTTTGTAACGCCATTAAATAAGTAATACTGAGGTTATACGTAGTTTTATGCAGAAATCATGATTCAAACGGTTATGCTGCTCAGGTTCATATCCTGCTGGCGACGAACTTTGTCACCAAATGCCCTGGTACGGCCGAGAGTGGGGGGAGTCCTCCCTCCTTCTCTAAATGCTCTCACATGGCCACGTGCATACAACCACTCACAGGGAAGTCCTACTCACTGCCTTCTCGCACCACGAGTGTTGTTTACCAAATTGAGCGGACCAAAAACTAATGTCCGATGCTTTAACTGGGTTGGTGGACATGGAGAGTTCACCTAGGGGAGTTGGAAAACACTGATTCCAAACCAATGGTGTACATGGGCTGACTCTAGGATCCTCAAGGAACAAATGGAGTATGAACAAATCTTTGGTCACCGGTTACCATGGAACTGCATCTCCTTATGTTGTTCCACTATCTTGTGGATCAGACTATTAGGTCGAAGGCTCCGGATGTGGCCCCATAAGAAAAGCACCTGAATCGGTTTGGGCTCCCGGGCAATATAACAGTCCACACCCCAATCAAGTGACTTGTTTGGATGCATATATATTCGGTGCCTCTTTGTACCAATATTCATGTGTCCAAATAAATTATATTATTTATTAAGTCGGAACATATGTTGTGCCTGCTTAGTTGACGTTTACTTTGACTTCCTATATTGATTAACTAGCAAGTAATTCAGAAAGAATCTAGCGATGGCTAAATCAGGAAATAACATTATTACGGTTATTTTGAACAGCGTTAACATTATTTATAGTTATTACTCTTATATAAATATAGTGCTGTAAATATCGCTTATATTTAATCTATCTTACTGATCAGATTTAATTGATGAACCATTTTCTTACTGCTTTTACAAAGTCATGTAAGTGATTAAATCATTGACATGAAGCTTTGATATTGTTACTGTCACTGTTCATCAATCATTTGATGTATCTACTAACTCTACGTCCGTTTTTTGTATTGTTAGTAACTACTCAGCTGCATTACTTTCAGTTCGAAAAATGGTAACCATTAGTTCATAAAGTTAATTACTACTGCTACGAGGTAGGATATGCAACTCCCTAGTTCAACTCTCAATACAATTACTGTAATCTGTGGTTAAAAACTTGGTGTTGTTACTCAGAATGGATTACAATAATGTAGTTGAATACGTTCTTAATCATCTTCTAAATCTGAAGTTTTAATATTAGATTTCAGTTTTCCGCTTGACACTCATTTATTCCTGTTGAACTAAACTTCACATCGTTGAGTTTCCATTTACCATTCATTTAACTCCTTTTCTATCTGTTTAATTTCTTTCCTCATCTCAACATAATTTATTGCGTACTACTTGTTTAGGTTTGAATAACACATCTGAACTCGATTAAAGACAGAGAATTATTGTAGTGGAAGCTATTCGCAAGGATATTTGTAGGTAGTATTTTGTGAACCGTCGCGTCGAATTTGTAACAATTGTCGGAAAGAGAGTAAAGTGTTTTAGTCCATTGAAAGCACACAGATAGCAGAACACTTGAAGATCAGTTAAGAAGACAATTTAGAATGTGAAACATACAGAAAGATGCAAATGGAAGATTGAAGGCTATGTGTATGTATTATGTAAATATTTAATAACTTCTCTCAATAAATGTACATTCTTCCTGCTTATTATCATGTTTTACAAAATCTTAGTTTCCCTGCATGGAAAAAGGTATTAACATCGATTTAAATATATTTTATAATTTTAATTAAACATGAAGAACAGATACAGCATTACTATATGGATATATATAATGATCATCCTTAATTTTAAGGTTACATTCACTTGGTTTCAATTCAATGATTGTTCCAATTGATTGTGAAAGTATTGATTTATCAAAATCAAATGCAAGTATACAATGTACTCCATATAAAAATTCAATAGCTTTACATTGTAGATGAATAGCACAAGCGAAACGGCAATTTTCTATATCATATGCAAGATTATTGAGTCTAAAATATATGGATTAATAAAGTGTTATGTAATACAATAGATTGTTAACATAACTAGAAAAATATATGAGTATAAGGGGATTTTGTTGAAATTTTTTTTCTAAAATCTCCACAAAACCCATTCTGATAATAATCATCTGCTCACTAGTGACTGCCTTCAAGAGATACTCCTGGATTTCTAGTGAGACGCCGTTATCAGTGGAGTTCAACTAGGTCTGTTGTGAAATATCAGCTCACTGAAGACAATGGTGTT